CAATGACATGGGGAGAACATGCAAACTCGACACGCACAAAGCCCAGGCTCAAACCCAAGTCCCAGAGGTGTTAGACAACAGTGGTAACCACTGCACCACCCCAGTAGGGGTCGGTATATATGTTTATTGCATGCACCGTTCATTCACAGAGATGATAATGGGCAATTTTAGGAATCTACAACATGCTTCTAAAGATACCACAATGGCAGTGTTCATCCTGGAGAATATCCTGGAGGTAGACCTTTAGTCAGTGTCAAATCATTCTGAAGCGTGAGAGTTACATGCATAATAAACGCCTGCCCTCATGGGGTATATAAAATACAGTGGTACCAGAAGCCCCGGCCAACTGGAGGAAAGCCGGAAGGTTCAGGCAGCCTGGGTGTTCCTTGGCTAGTACCCACAGAGACTGAGGGGGTCTTGGGTTTCAAAAGGAATGCTGAGAGCTCATTTTTGCAGCTAGGTTTTCTACTATCTCTGGCAGTAAATGTGAGCATCTCATAATTCATAATTAAATAGCTGTAATTCTTCATTTTGATTAAATAAAGCTAGAAAGTACTTGACATGATTCAAAAATGTGTCCCCTACAGACGGCGCAACCGCACTTCATGATGTACGACATATCACATATTTTGCTTTATCTGTGGAAAACCAAAGTGTTTATATAACAACTAGGCTACAGATATCGGAGCACGTTGCCGCACTGTTGTTTAAAAGATCTCTCTCTTTCGAACTGGCCCACAAAAACAGAAGCAGGGAAAATTCCCCGTCTGGGACATCCCCGTTAATGCGCCGGCCATTTCGGTTCTTGGTGCACATCATTTTGCTCTTATTTTTCTTGCTTGTCTAAATGGGGTTTTTTTTTTTTTAGTATAATTTAAACTGGGGGGATATCGACTGTCCCTCAATCCAGATGATCTCATATCTCTTGATCTCTGCATTAAAGGATTTTAAGGTAGACAAATAAAAGAGAAATAAGCTCTCAGGAAATACCCTTTTGCTGTCAGTTACGGGTTGCCAACAATGTGTTCCCTTCTTTGGTGCCACGGTTGCCGTGGTGAGCATTATTAGCTGGTGAGACTCTGGGAAAATGGCATGACTTGATATGCGTTTCCAAGGTGCATATCAGTATATCTTCGATGTCATCATTATACACTTAAAGGAACCACAATGTTTTTTTTTCACGCCTGTAACACAACCCCTTTAAATTGCCTGCAAGCTAAAGAAATCAAGATACATGCCCCATGTGTTATCTTCTCAATGTACCGTGAGAGGGAAGGTTGGAGGAGATATGCAAATTAGAATGTAATATTTCAAATTGTTTTTAGGGTATTCTGCAGTCCTGGTCTCTCACAATGATTTATTGGAGATTGCCAATTCTGAACGATTCGTTTGAGGAAGACAAAGAACGTCCTCTCATTTTTCTCTGGCATCATTCATCTTGAGGCCTACCGCATGTCTGCCCACGTGACCTGCCCCTCCCCCCTTCTAGGGCAGAGCTGATGTGATTGGACCACATTTCACTCCTTCCCATCACCAGCAGTGTGGAAAAAAGCAAAGGGACAGAGGACCATTTGTTAAGATGCTACTGTACTCTTATTATTCACTGGTTAACTCAGTGCAGATGTTGAAGATTAGGAGGCTGAATGAAAGCGGTTAAGGTGGTGATACTTAAGCTTGCAGTCGACTGATGTGTCCAGGTTTCAGGCTATGTTTATGTTATCTGTATGTCTTGAGGTGTCCCCATACAGACTCCCTCCCTTCAGGTGGAGCTCCGATCTGGCAGTCTAAGTCATCCCTCCTCCACTTGCTGAGATGTTTTCAGTCTTGCAGATACAGGGGTCACTGCATCATTAAACAAACTCTTTGCTTTGACTAAAAATGGCAACCCCCCCCCTACACACATACACACACACACACACTTCCTTATTAAATTTGTAAATATGTCTGCATTGGAATACATTTTTTGCTTTTCATATCTCTGTTTCGCACTCTGTGGCCAGATTATTCGGCACGCCTGATTGCTAACGCGAAAGGGCCCGTTTCTCCAAAACCACAAACTACACAGCACACAGATAAGGTCGAGGCCCACTTATTGTCAAGCTAAGAATTGGAACAGCCAAGATGCCTGACCTAAGCAATAATGAAGAAATAACACCCAGTCAATGGCATTTATGTGGCCAAGAACACCTTGCTAATGAGAGGTCAGGAGAGAACAGCCAGACTCGTTGAATATAATAGGAAAGCAAAAATAACAGCTCATTACGACAGTTGGGTGTGTAAAATGGCTTCTCAGAGCAAAAGCAACCCCACTACCAATGTAAAGGAGTGGCTCCTGCCTGCTACCTCCCACAGCCATGTAGTGAAAGATACATCAACCCCATTCAGTCCAACGGACCGGTTTTTTGCAGCATTGGTGGATTATGGAGCTTCTCAATACTTCCTAGCAGCAAATACTAGCAGCGCAGTAGAGTTGCAGCGGAATAGACCATTTGTTGTGCACCTTTAAAGGGTAAGACGTTTAAAAAAGTTAGCTTGTATTTTACCAGCACATCGGTATCAAATTGACATGCACATTAAAGCATGTTAGTCAATTAAATTAGTAGGTTTAGGGAATGTTAACAGATAGCAGATTAGGCCAGGATAGCAGATAAAGTTAGCAACGCATACAATTAACCACAAGCAGCCTATTAATTATAAATTCTGTTCTCTTTATGCTATTTCATCCAACGTTTAATGTCACCCTGCAGCCCGAGTCCCATCAGCCCGTTCCTAATTTTTAATAAACCAAACATTAAACTTCCCAGGGGTGTGGTCTTTGTGAAAACGTGTTTGAATACAATTACCTCACATGTGTTTTTGATATTGTAATCTTTAGTTATAGTGGGATTTCTCCTGCTGACTTGAGCCAACCATTTTTTTTCTCCTTTCCATGTCACTGGGGAAACCATACATTCATACCGCTTTCTCTGAGCGACTGGAGCACGTCCGTGCAGTGCAGCAACCCGTGGTGCAGACTATATGCAGACTGCATGGAAGGACAACATGGTGCAAATGGCACAGACCTACTGCTTGACATGCTGTTCATGTTTCTGAGTTTATTAGTGATTAAGTTATTAAGACTGCTTAGGCCCTCAGTTACCACAGGATTACTGAAACCATTATGAATTAAAGAAATGTTAGAACATTAATCTGATCTGAATTTTGAGACATTTCTTCCCCATCCCTCACTCTTAATATATCAGTAAACATTGCTTTTGACTGTCATACAAGTTTAAGAACATTTTCTATATTCGCTTTTCCTATTCAAGGTCGCAAGGAGTCCACATATTGATGTAACTACATACACATGTCGGAGTGCTATGCAAATATTGTAAATCAATGCATTTACTGACTAATAATTACCAAAAATCGCTGTTATGGTTTGGTCCTGGAACTGAAGTCTGCATGAGCCACATGACGATCAAGCATTTTGAACGTCTGTTGACTTCTCTCTCTCTGCCGCTGCTTGTCGATGTAACAAAGTCACCACTAAGTGCATGTAACTTAACCTGACCCTCCTCTGAAACGAGGGTTTAAATCTCCCCTGTTAGTCATTTTAAACAGCTAATCAGGATGCTGTATACCTTAGGCTCATAAATTAATGTCTTATTAGAATGTCTGATTAGAAAGGTAGGGGGGAAAAGGAACTTCAGTAGAAGCTGCACGCTAATTATTTATTAAATTAATCAATACAAATGCAACTTGGATTAAACATGTTATACATTTACCTGTACGTATTTCCCCTTTTTTATTAAAAAATTATTGCTTTTACCCATTTCCGCTGAAGGATGTTTTGCTGACACTGTTCAGGTCAAGCTCCCTGACCAATGAAATCTGAGGCTTCTTCACGGACCATGAACCTGGGACCACCAGGCTAGTCTGCTTTCTGTCACCATGCTGCCCCCCCGCCCGTTTAATTCTGTTCCAAAGCCCTGAGCAAGTGGACCTCAATTATGCCCAGAACAATCCAACTACAGGTAGCTTCTGAACATGTTGTTAATTATTCTGTCAAACATTTGGTTGATTATATATATATATTTTACAGAACTCTGGGATAATCCAGTATTTGACTTATTGTCTTTGGCAGCTGCTCAACCAATCTTCCACGACAGACTCCAGAGAAAAGACAAACACGGTTGAAGAAGCTGAACTCACAGTCAGGAACTAAAGAACTGCACGATGTTTTAACGAACGTCACAAAACTGTGCGTTCGTTATTATGTACCATTGTATTTAGCTTTTAATGTAATAGACTTTATGTTTATAAGTACAAGTTGTCCATATAAGTCAGATGTTTTTAACAGGAAATGGATAGACTGTGAGACTATGCGTTAGGTTTGATAAACAACTTGCAATAATAACAGTGATCATAATGTATATGCTAGGGTGAGTTCAGCTATCAACTCACTCACCCCTCACTTCATGCCCATAACAGCCATTTAATCAAATGAAGAAGTCCGCTCATGTACAAACAGTTCCGATTTCAGTTTCGTAAAAGATTGACATAATTAACCTAATGATGATCTTAAAAATCTCACAATGAATATGAGCGGAGTGGCTCAGTAGGCTAAATGTCTGTGCCTCAGAAAATCACTGGTCCGAGCCTCGACGGAACAGTCACACGTCCGCTTAACCCCCAGCTCCAGGGGGGCTGCACGTTAGCTGACCTTGTGCTGTAACACCCCCCCAAGCTATGGTGAGCATGATGGGGTCAGCAAAGAGAATCATTCCAATGTGCAAATAAAGCATTCATCATAAAGTAACACCTTAGCTTCAGCTGTGAATTGCGTCAATATATAAAAAGCATTCAAAATTAGTTTAAACAATCCCTTCTATAACAACTACGATTTCGTTAACAAAATCCACCAACGACCATTCAAGTCTACCCACTAGCCCGAGGCTACAACTCATATTAAGATAAAGTACCTGACTTGAAGTTAAATTTGACGACTCTTTAGTGAATTGTCTATGCACATAGTATTTCTGTTTTATTATGTAATAAACATGCGAAGACTGCAGATCTTAAATGGAGAAGCAGAACAGAAAATAGATAGATAATTACATCACAAGGTAAAACATCGATTAGAATTATATATAATGACTACACTTGCGTTATATATGTACATAATAAAACGGCATGTAATTTTCGTTTTATATATTAAACTAAGATGCAAATTGTCCATGCCTGTGTAGCACAGGCTTTTTGGAGATTTGGAGAGTGAGTATCCGGAATGTGTGACTTTAGAGGCTGAACGTTTCCAGGTTCCAGGTTCCGGCCACGGCAGAAACGCGAGGTGGTATTCAGGCCGAAACCAACCAGCATGGATCTGCGGAAAAAACGAGAAGGGGTCAGTCTGTGACCCTGCTCTGCAGTCTCTGCGGGCTCCGACATAAAGCACGCATGGCTTTTTTAATGGTTTGCGAATAAACTTTTAACTCATTCAGCTGTCGCGCAATATGGATATATATATATATAATACCTAACAAAAGTATTTATTTTCAACAACTTCAGTTAATCTGTGCCGTTTTTGTACTGCGTCGATTATCTTGCGTATGCGTTTCATTCAGCTGCAACAGAAAGTGAAGCACCTTAGACCTGCAGCAAACCCAGCACCTTTTGACCCAAATTACATGTCTCACGCGCTCAGACTTCAGGGACACCAGCCCATTTCTCGGGGGGTGGGGCGGACATTCCTTTCCGCTGTCTGAGGTGCTATTTGTCTCACAGTGAGAGATTATTTTGAAAAAGAAGCAGGAGGTGTCACTTTAAGCACTATAGAACGCAATATCCTCCTGAGACCCCACCCATTCATTTATGTCCATTGCAGTGGACATTTTGTTTTTGCATATATCTTTTCACTGATGTAAGGAAACATATTTATTCCTGTTGTACACTAAAGAGGACATGCTGTGAAATTTAAAATAAAAATAAATTTGGAAAAAGATGTCTTATTTCCTCCAAAGACATAGAAAATCACAATTAACCTAAAACTGAAGGACACTTTTTGTCTCAGGAGGATATCTCTCTCTCTCTCTCTATATATATATATATATATATATATATATATATATAGCCTCTGATTTTCATATTAAAGTAGGAAAGACTCAAAACTTGTTTTGTTCTCAACGGATATTATTCCAAATAAAATAAAACAAGGGATAAAACAAGTGTTTTCCCCCCATAATTTGTTCAGTGACAGTGCAACAACTTTAGATGTAGCTATGCAGCGATAATACATACTTTAAATTCCATATGACCTCCGTGCATTGACGTTATTTTTTCCATTACCTATAGCTGCCACCTAGTGGTTTTTGTAGGACAATTCAATTAACTACATCCATTACCGCCGATTTAAAGGTCAAGTAGAAACTCACATAAATCACAACGATATAAAGTGTCATACAGGCGAGACGTTAGAATAAATACCTTAAAACCTTTGATAACTAGTATCTGTCAATTGTCTGCAAATGTTAGACTATCTCGCAATTTTGGGAAACGCGATATTATAGTTTCCTTTCCAAATATTACACATTTTATGATATAGGCCTACACAAAGACGTAGCATATTTCATGATTTAAAAATAACAACTGTATATAGCTGAACAAAATGAACAGTGTTCATATGGTAACAAAAATGTCTAAGTTGTGACAGATGGCACGAAAATGTAATTAGTTTTACTTGGTTACTATTTGCGCGCTGTAAACTATGAAATTATGTAGCTCGGAGTAAAAATTGGTGCTTTATTAAGATACAAAGCGTGATCTCTTCGGGCACATCTGCTCGAATTACTAAAAATCACACTTCAAAAACTCCTCTCATGTCAGCTCCCGATAGATTAATTAAGCATTTTGTGCAACATTTGACAGAAGATGCACTAAACACCTGCTACAGAATTGTCCACTGTACACACAGACTGTTGACCAGACATCTACCTGAACCAAACATGCTGTTCTATCGAGTGCATATTTAATCCACGGTGTGAAGGAAAAAAAAAACTTCTTCACTTTTTTTTTTTTTTTTTAGGAAAAAAAGTCTTCTGAAATATACTTTTCAGACACAGTTTCTAAACAATTTATAGTTTACAGGGAAAGTGCTTATTACCGCGGTATTTTTTTTCTAAATAATTTCCACAGATTAATAAAGTAAACTGCTATCACAATACGGGCGGAACTTTTTTAAACGCTGAAAGTGTAAAAAGGCTTAACGTAGCCTGAAGTTCTAAAATAACTTCGGAAAACCAAATTTCTTTCACATCTCGCTGCTCATAGGTACATCATATCATATCACATATGAAGAAAAAGCCCAAAAACAATTTCACTATTCGTGTTACGCTTGTTTTTCCTCAATAGAAACCAATTATAAGGAAATACTGCAAAATGACTTACTGCACCAACGCAACTCAGGACAACAAAATTTCTCTCACACTTCGCTGTTAGTAAGTACACTATACATTTCATATTCATGCATTTGGCAATAAATTCAGTGACATGCGTTGTTGCTTTGTACGCTAAGGAACATTAACTTTATTTCACAGTAGTGTCCCAAAACGTCTTGTACGAGCTACTCGAAACATTTACAAGCGTATTAATTTATGTGCATGAAATATGTTTCTGCTATTTGCACGTGTGGTATAATGACAGATTTAGGTTTAATGATTACTAAGCCAAGAAAAGCATTATCGACCACAGAAGAACTTCTATACTAATGCTCATAGAATAGCTCGGGCGCACACACCGCCGCAAATGAAACCTGAAAAAACGCCACTTCGAAAACCCGGTGTTTAACTGCCCGTTCATTCCCCTTCCTGTTACATCCTTTGAATTATTGTTATAAATGTGTGCACATGTGTATATTTGTATTTGCATGTACACACTTATACCTGTTCATTTACTCCAACACTTATCTGCATCAGATATCTTTCCGCAAGTATGTTGTTCTGAACCCTCAATAGATCCCGATCTTCGTGCCTGCAGCGCCTCTCCTAATCAGTTCTCTATCAACGCTTTGCTTGTATATATGCCGTTACATGTTATAAATATGTATATGTGAGTATATATGTCACATTATATATAATATTCATATATGCTACATGCAGATGTCTATGCTGAAACAACGGGCAGCACGATCCGGCTGCAAGGAAGCTGATTGGTGCGGCTCCGCCAAGGCGGAAGTCAGAGGCGCGCGGGGGGATTCCCCGTGGGAAGTTCCCAGCGCTTTATTAAACACGCAAAATGTACATTTGCACGAAAGGCACCGCTTCCTCTCGCGTCTGTTGTAGAAAACTTTTCCTCCAAGAATAAAAACCGTGTAAGCAGTGTGAAAAGGGGCCACTTTATAGATGTAGGTCGTTCCGATCGTTTTCGAGTTAAGGTAAGGTAGCCTCAGTTTACTGCCGCCAGCTTCTTATTTACGGCCGAAAGTTTTCTACCGCTTCTTTCCGATCGCGATTACTATTGTGACACTAATATGCGTAGATGTTAATAATGTCACTGGCACTGCCGATTTTTTTGGAACTTATAGAGCAGATATCCGTAATTAAGCTCGACTCGGAGCTCGCAATGCCGACACTTACTCCCATTGTATGAATATTAAGTCAGATATATAAGTAAACTCGGCAGTCTGCGATTGCTACAATATAGTATGTGGCCATTAAAGAACAGGCCTACTTGTGTTCAGTGTATCCGTGTATGTTCGGTGGTTAATACTGTGAAATTTTACTGTAAGTCTATAGGCGGAGGACGTTGCCATACGTGATGTAGTTCTTTCCTTATTTACCTTCTTGCAATGTTTTCGGATTTAATTTTTAAAAATATAACATTCTATTTGATATGTTGATCTGACCTGTCGAGTTCCTTCCTGGAACCCGGTTCCCTGAGGGATATACTTTTTCTGGAATAATTATTAAGACATGAGTCTGATCGCTCAATATCACGTTAAAATAATTAACATAATATTATCATGGGTTCTAATACGTTTCTTTAATTACTTGTCGTTTCTGACACTTTTTGCTTTGCTTTTTAAATCGGTTCTGTATTAGGTTACGCACTATGTTAGACAGAGTGGTAGACGAGAAAATAACATTTGTTTCTCTTTCTGTTTATGATATCTACTCTCATTGCGTTGTAACTGAGTAATGAAGATAAAAAACTTAGTATAGGTTTAGTATAGGCAGTTTGATAGATACTTGTTACACACATCTGCAGACATTAACTGATTTCTTAACAAAGTTGCAATATGCTTGTTTTATAGCTATTATTGTTTTTCTCCCAAGGTTACCTTTCTGAAGTTTGTTTACCATATTTAATAAGCAAATCGGCTTTTTTGTTTTGTGTGTGTATTTAGCCTTAGAGTTAACGTTTTGGCATACCCATTACTCAGTGTGTACTAGGCACTAAACATAATATCTCCTCCGATCATGGTTTGATGTAAGTCTTTGATATGAAAAATGGTTATGTGATTATTTTCATCGCATATGAACATCAATATGTAAGATCTAGGCTGTTTCCTGGCTGTATAAAGGTAGTAAAATGCAAAGCCATTGGAATTCTGGATTTGTAAGGAAGTTCACTGCGGAAGAAACTAAAATTCTGAATGTCACATTGGCAAACTAAAGCAGACTTTATGTCCGGTAGGCATAACCAGTGTCAGGAACATGTCGTTTGAAATGAGGTTCTTACAGAGTTTGATTAATCTTTGTATACACAGTCACACAAAACTGATGAGGTTTGGTAAGGGTTGACCGTTGCATTTGATTAATTTGTGTTAAAAGAAGGTGTTCTGAAAAATGAATCCTGCCATATGCATAGCTAAATATGAAACCTCTTCAGAAAGCCTTCATAAAACTTGTGTTTTAATTATTTAACCTTCTTAAGATTTTTTGGACCATTTTCACCAAATTCTCTGTCCAATGCAAAATATAGCTGCAATGAGCAGTGCCACATCACAAGATAAAATTTATTTACTAATTATTTAGTGAAGAATTGCAAACCATTGAACACGCAGATCATTAAGACTCAAAGAGCTGTTAAACCTGTATGTTTTTTTTACAACTAACCTTAACAAAAATATTTTAAATTACATCCAATTATGAGTACATTCCAAAACGAACTTGCATATATTTAATTTGAAGAACTATCCACCATGTTTATGCTGTATTTTGTAATAAGTGTGTTATCATCATCATCATCATTATAGTAACCACATTGGTGAAAGTAATACAAGTAAAATTAACACATTTTCAAAATGCAAACTCTCATATAAATTGTATACTTTGCTAATTTTATTTAATAATTGGAACATTATGAATATATCCATATTAAGTAAAATGTGTAGTCCCCACTTCCCTGACCTCTTGTGATAAGTGTTGTGATGCAGTTGTCCTGTATATTTTGTCTTTGTGCCATTTCTCACAAATGGTTTGGAAAACTCGCAGGAAAAAAAAAGCTTTGGGTTCGGTCTCATGCTTGTATTTAAAACAAAAGTGAAGCCAGAACAAGGTCATATTTCATGTCAGAGTCAAGACCGATAAAGACTTTTCTTTAAGGGTCAGATTGCTGTAGAAGGGCTGCTTCTTCCCTTGTTACAATAACGGTTCCTGCTTGTGGACTCAGAGCTCCTGTTGGCTGCGTCAGTAATGGTACCGGGGCGAAAGGCATGGAGAGAGATTCACTCGCCAAAGCCTTTGAAGCCTACAGACAAGCTTCCATCGAGAAAACCCATGTCCAGCAGGAACTTCAGCAAACGGTACGAAGACTCCTGGTATCGTGAGTCAGGCTCCCCCCTTTCTTTTTTTCTAACAAAACAATTTTGCTTCTGTAGACAGAGTATTACAAACGATACACTCAAAAGCTCCAGCAACAGATAGAAGAGCAGAGGCTGCGCATTCTGAGGCTGGAATCTGAGCTGAGAGTGGCGACGAGACGAGCTTCAGGTTGGTGCCACTCCTACTGGATTCTCCTGCTCCTCCTCCTTCTCCTGTGTCCTTTCATGTCCATCAGGCCTCTTCTTCTATGCTGTAGAAGTAGTCGGAATTACTGTCTGCCCCTTAGACCTTTTTCCTCCTCATTCACTGTTACTGTATATATATGTTACTGTGGGCAGTGGTGGCTTAATGGGTAGGGAAGCGCACTCGTAATTGAAAGATTTCAGGTTCGAATCCCCGACCAGCGCTGAATTAGCTGCCCCGTGCTATGTCACATTGTCACATATAGGTTAAATACAGAGAATGCATTTTGTTGTTGTGCACTGTGTGCTGTGGTGTGTCAACAGTGACAATCACAAAATACTAAAATACATACTGAATTGGATTTGTATGGATGGTGGTTTAATTATGGGCTTGTTTGTCAGGAGAAAAGTGTTGTGAGACTGCTCCCGGAAAACAGGAAGCAGAGACCTTGCCATCCTGCGACCACCACCCTGCCGACACTCCATCCAGCTCCCAGCAGAGAAACCAGTTCCTGGTACAGTCTATGGCCCATTATAGCGCCTCCTATGATTAATATCTCTCGTATGAATTACATTGCATATGAGTGTGTTGAGTGTCATGGTGTTGAATGTCACAGTGTTAAAAACACAGTGTTAAAATGGGCCATGTTTCAGAAAGCTTTTGTCCCAGAGATGCAAGGGCATCTGGGGCTCTTTTGAATTGTCTGTATATCACACATGTGGTTCTCTTTTGATTTTAGTATATTGCAAAGACATAATATGTAACATACCCTAATGGATATTGTTGCACATCCTTTATTTTTTATATACCGGTACTTCATAAATCAGGCAAAAAATAAAAAATAAAATCAGGAAAAATGCATTTTTTTGACCTAGTCTCACAGTTTGCTTAAGAAATCTCCCATGAGTCCATACATTCATCCTACTTCGTTCTGGGTTGTGGTAGTAAATACTGATTAATTGGCATAAAACTAATTATGACCCCTTGTAAGCCAAGTTTGTATGCAGTAGTTGTGATATTAATCATTTGTCATGGTCTGAACTATTGTCGTTAGTTCTGAGAGCAGGGGAATGACTTGGCATCATGGATACATCACTGAGCTTGGGGAGAACTTTGATTTCTTTACTGCACACATTCTGTGTAAACTCACCTTGTTTCTGGGTTAATGGTCATGTAAAGAAATACTTTATGAATAGCTCTTGGGAAAGTAGTATAAAAAAATTTCAGTAGGTGGTGCTATAGGATAGCACCCTCTTGTGTCCTTCAGTACGCCTGAATCAAATGAGTCTCACTGAACCGAGTCAGATTCATTTGTGATTCATTTCAATCAGACATGGAAATCAATAGTTAAATACTTAAAAGTAACTTGTTTAGGGAAGTTTTGCCTTAATTGTGTTTGTGTGTTGTATTTCATGGGTATGTATGTTAATTTAACAGATATTTATAGAAAGATACCTTTGAGAGTACATAATAGCAATTTTCCTCCAATTTGATAATTTGAGTGCATGTCCTAATTGTGTGTCAAGAAGTTTGTTTTTCCAGAGTATGGAGAATTAGAAAAATATGTAAATATTAGTGCTTGTTAAAGAGAAATTCCATATCACAGTATTTTCTTTTGAAAGCATTTCTGAGAAGTTCACTTTTTTTTGTGGAGTTTCAGGATTGCTTAAGCCCAGACATTCCACTATCATGGCTGGGTGTGTCTGGGTGTGTCTGTGAAATAGTAGAAGTTTCACTGTATATTTGGTCATTGCCCATTCCCGCCACATATCTCGCATCTCGTGCTCTCGGACATTTGTGTGTTGTCATTGTCTTCGATATTTCATTCTTCTTTTGCATTCAAAAATAGATCATACATTTGTTTGCTTACTGATTTTTGTTTTTTCCTTTGCACTTTGCCAAAGAAACTTGACATACTAACATTGTCTCTTTTTTTTTTTTTTTTTTTTTTGTTTGTTCTTTTTTTTTTTTTTTTTTTTTTTTTTTTTTTTCTTTTTTTTTTTTTTTTTTTTTTGTCTGGATCCGTTGCCTTTTGTCTTATCAATGGCGTTGACCTGCTTTGGTGTTAACAAAGGACTACCCAGAATCCTTGGAGATGCCCTCACATGCGTTCGTCATGGCTAGCACGGTGGAAAAGTAAGCCGTCCGTCTTCGTGTCATCGGTGAAGGTTTCTGAGAAAGCCTTCTGTCTCACAGCTCTATTCTCTGCTCCTCAGTGGCAAAGTTCTTGACACGTTTCAGAAACTTCAGGGAACGTTGCAGCTGATCCAGAAATTAACCAGAAAACAAAACGATCACCTGAAGAAAATGTATCGGGGGAATGATTCTGCAAACGGTAATGCCCATACTTATGTATAGGGTACCTTGAAAATTATTTGGACGGGGGGTCATACTGCTGTTGTTTCAAATTCTGAAGACACCAACAATACAGCAGTAATTTAATTAAAGGCAGAATATATTGAGTAACAATTGCTTAAAGCTGTCATAGCTTTTCACGAATAACTGCAAATTTCTGCTTAATTAAAGGAATGCAATCACAGCAACACACAATGCAGGAATGCTTTTGTGTGAAGGTGCGGTAAATTGAGTACGTCCAACATGAAAACAGAATATGTGGGAAATGCTGGGTACGATTGTAACACTTGTAGCAAGCTCCGTCAACAACGTGACGACTTGTCAGTCAGGGAAACGCATGTCATTTGGCTCATTTTGTAAAAAATTAAAAAACCAAATTCAGGATTGTCATCTGCGTGATGCAGTTGCAGGAACGATGAATGTGTAGATATACTGTTTACAATGTTGGGTTTGAATCGTTCGTCCAGAGCCCCAGTTCTCCATGCCCATCCAGTGCACGGATGGGACAGCCGCACAGGCCGAGGGACCCTTCTCGTCCTCCATCAGGTCTGAAGTGTTGGGCGATGAGCTGCCCAGCAGCTCCTTGGCCTCCCGAGGAGCTTGTCAGGAGGACCTGGACTTCAACGACTCCATGACTAAACTGAGCGTCAGATTCCCCCCGCCGACAGACAGTGAGTACGAGTTCCTAAACAGCACCCCGGAGAGGCCCTTGGAGCCTATCAGTGTCCGGAAAGGCCTGGCCGACGTCGCGGGCGTCTCCAGCACAAGCGAGGACGGCCCGCTAAAGCTCCTGTATCCCGACCCGGTGGTGAATGCAGCTTCCACCTCTCCGGAGGGCGTCCGTGGACCCCAGCAGGTAACGGTGGGTCGTCTTCTGGGCTGCTTGCTCGTCTCCGTCTCGGCCCAAGTGGCGTGCTTTCCACTCCAGGATCATTCTGACCACACCCAGTTTGCAGACCTCGCAGGTCGGCTCGTGCAGATGGCAGCGGACTGCGCTGCCATGCATGCTATAAATCGCATATTAAGTAGATAGTAGTAGATAGTGTGGGGAAGCTGGTAATTTGGCTCGCGGTGAAATCCAGCGGTTTATGGTTGTGTGGGGCTTGATAACGATGCTGGCTGTCACCTGTCAGCCTTAGCAAGAAGGATTGACATGGTGATCATGGGGGGGGGGGTGTATTTTAAGTGTTGCCAAAAGGAACAGGAAAAATGCATTTCTGTGACCTAGTGTCACGGTGTACTTAAAGTCTTCAACTGCCCAAATGACCATTCTAGGGAGTGTTTGTGGTAGGAAATCGACCTTGAAGATGGTGATGAAGATGAGTTAATAATTCATATTGTTATGAATAATAATGATGATGTTTGTGCATTATACAATCTGTACTAATGCATTTGCTTATGTCTAAATGCTACGTACAGTAATCTTTTTTTATATTGCAAACACGTACACAGCACATAAGCAGAACAACTGAAAATGTTACAGAAGAAAGTGCAAAGATGAGGTTGTCTTTTCTGGGTTTTTTTTTTTAAGTGCTATGGTCACCTGCTGCCTTTTTGCTTTAGTCTGAAACATTTAGCAGTAGGACAAATATGATGGGAAGGATTCTTCCATGTTCAGTGGGTGCTTCACACTATTAACAGAGAAGCTTAAATGAATAACGACCATTTATAGCTCAGCTTTGAGGCGCTGGAGCATTTTACGGAATCCAAAGTATCCCTCAGGTTATTGCACGTGATATTACAGTTAAATTTGTGCTTGAATCCAGTTTCTTTTCTACTGTTTTTAATCATTTATTATTTTTCATTGGAATGCTTATTTTTGTTTTCTGAAGGCAAGGTCTGGCTTTGCATTCTCCGAATATGAGTTATAATGGAAAAAGCTCATACAAGATTTGAAGTTTGCAATAATATCTGCTGTCTTAAGCAACAAAGGGGAGGGGGGGGGCAATTGGTGTTGTGCCTTTTCACAGCGTGGGCTAGGGGGTTAGATAATTGACACATCTTTCGATAATAATGTGTTGAAGACTCCCCTGCTATGAAAAGACGATAGGTCACATCGAAAGCAGATGTTATTCTGCGATGTTATTGTTCGGCGCATGCGTTACGTGAAAACCACACTGAAAACAACCGTGAGCCGGCGAGTGGAGCACTCTTCCAAAGTTATTTACCACCGTTGCCTCCGGTGGAAAATTACCGCTATATTCTGATGGGCCACCACTTTAAGACGGTGGTGATCCTGTTTTACGGACCTGATGCAAGCGTCTTGTTTTGTAGTGATTTTGTCTGAAGTGTGTGTCAAGTGTTAAATATGGTATCAAATATTCATATTCATTGAATTATTATCTGAGAGTGCTTGTAATACTTAAATCGATCACGAATGGCAATTTATATTTGGTAATGTAATTGGTAATACGTTCAAGTTATTGATAACTAATGCTTCATACGTAAGGACGACTAACTGGAATTCTTTAATAAAATATCAATTATCCTCACCACCACTCCCACTAGTGTTCAGCTCGACTGTAAATGGTTAATTCACCGTGAAACATTTGCACACTGAGTGCGTAACGCACAGATGACACGCTTTTTAATTTGGGAGAGTGAAGATGTGTCACATAAGTGGAAATGTAGTTATTGATTTATGTAGTATTTCATCTGCTTTATTCTAACTTCCCCATACTGGTGAAGTAATAATGTCAATATACTGGAAGAATCAAAATCCATTTTTTGAGTTTTTATGCATGTAACTGAATCATAGAACATGTGTGAAACTTGCATTGAATTGTACTAAAATTGTAATGCCAGACTGACACAAATGAAAAGAAACAAGCATTTTTATTCAGTAAGGACTAGAAAAATAAGATTTATAACTATTAAATCATGTGACACTAAAAGAGAAACATTGAGGCTTTTGAAATGTAATACTTTCGCCACATCAGTGAAATAGGTGACACAAGTCAGTTTTTCTTATATCCTTCATGTGCCTGGGCCATCTAGAATAGGGGAAGAAAACTTACATGCACGTGAATTCAGTGCTTATTTGTTTTATTTTATATTTCCTTACATAAGCATGAAAAAAATGAGCGGCATGTGGTCACAAGGGCGGCGCCGTGGAGTCATGGGAATCGCACCCCAGTCAGGGATAGTGGAGCGAATTCCCAAGTCGGATGCATCGTTTATTTATATATTTTAAGCCACAGTGTGAGGGGACCTCAGCACGATTCTGTGCGGACGAACAATGTGGGTGTCTACTTGTGTGTTGCTGATGGGGTAGTTGTTGGCTTGCTAACCGAGTTTCCTTTCTCCCTTGCAGCCCCTGTGGAGCCCAAAGCTCTGCGATGCTGCGGATCAGGACGCGAACGCAGAATACTGCACCTTCTGCACCTCCATCGTGCCCCAGGGGCACATGTTCAGCCACCTGAACTCACACTTCCAGAAAAACGCAAGCAACGGACACTAGCAGGCCTCGTGGGCCTCCACGGGGCTTTGTCCATCTCCGCTCCCGGATGGCAAACTTGTGTGCCCCTCCCCATACCTATTTAATTTGTCATTTTGGTGTACTTCAGTGTCTTTCTTCTAAAACTGTCTTTGAACGAAATCTGTTGAATTCAATATCAGACTGTGGTATTATCTGGTAAATTCACTGTGTGTAATAAAACTTCTAATGATCAAGTATTGCTTACATGTCACCCCCACCCCCGTTTGTCATACATGTTTTTTTTTTTTTAAACGTCCATTAAGTGAACTAGAATCATCTCACACAAGCCCATCCAACTGGGTCATGCTGAATGGTTTCAGTGTGTGAACTGGATCCAGTAGATTAGCATGATGAATCACCACAAAAGGCTTCGCCATATCGTAAGCTTGTCTTCCACGGGCCCGTTTTCGATGGCAGTATCAACAAAATCAGCGTTTCTGCCGCGTTCAGTACGCACTCATCGTTTACCACCAGGAGGTTTCCGGTTCCAGGATGTCGGCAAGCAACTCAATGGATCCGCTCGCCGCTGCCCGGTGGATCAGCGGGTCTGAAGTCCTCGCTGGCCGCAATTAAAAGGTGAGACCTTTGTAATAAGTTGGACAATGCGTTTTGAGATGTGATACCACAGAAGCAACACATTGTCACATGTTCATTTCAAGTGATTCCCCCCCACCCCCATCTGTGATTTTAGGTGGAAAGTGTTTTGGGAGAAAATATTTGAAATGATTGAGAATTTAGGTAACAGTTTTAAAATAAAGGTCTTTTTCTATTTATGACTGCATGAGCAGCATATACAGCACAGTTTGTTTGATAATGGCTAATGGTTTTATTACGTTTAAAAACCCATATTGTATTAATAAGCTGGCAAGGCAAAGTCAATGCCAGAAACGGTTTGGGGTATTTGGGTTTTCCTCAATTTTGAGAGCCACTGAACTTGACTGAATGAGCAACACCAGTTTGAACCAATTTTGTTAGTTCAGTCTATTAAACAATTTATGGTAAGATATCACTAGCATCGCTCACTAGCCGTATTGGCCTGTTGAACGTGCTTGTGAAAATCCCAAATTTTAAAAATTTGTTAGCGATTTCCCTCCAAGCCTCATCTCGGATGCATTTCATGCTGTTGTGTTTGCAGTCCCATAGTGTTTAGGTTTAAATAATGTTTATTTTAATGCCTTTAATTGTAATGAAATATACCATTGACTTTTACTCGATAATATCATAATACCTATTGTAAATAAGTGTTTCATACTAAGCGATTTAAAAAAATAAATGCTCCAGTGCAAATAGAAACAAATGTTTAATTTTAAATCCCACAATAGTACATTGTATTTAAGTGTTTTCTATTATATTCTGTATTAATATTTCTAAAGCGGTAGACAGAGAAAAGACATTTGTTAATGGTGTGCGTTAGCATCTCGCCTACAACCAGCCTTTGATTAAGGGGTATGTTTATTAACAGCTTCGCAAACAAATGTAATAATTTTCACAAACTTGCAAGATGATGTGTTAAAGGAATAGGGGGGAAATGCGCGTATTTAAAACGCAGTCTCGTACAAAGGAGACCTTGTAGCCCCTCGATACGGACTGGTAACACTTGCGCTGAGTCGATGAGCTGGTGTGAAGTTTGGTTATGTTATTAGGTTTGTATTGAGCGCAGCCATCGTATTTCATGCGTGTGCTTTTTATATATATATATAGGCTATATATAAAAAGTTGTCAGATTTTCATTGTAATTTAGTTTGTTGAAATTGCCTATCATTATAACAGACTTTTAAAATACCGGATAAGGCTTTCGTAATGTTCTATGCAACGCTGTTATACGGATTCCAAATATATTACTTAAGCCAACAGATGGTGGAACATGCCATGAAAATAGTTGAATAATTGAACAATATTAAGCATTTATTCAGAATACGTTATAATAAGCATCCACAATATAGAGATATGATTGCATTTTTATTGCCTGTATGTTTATCAATGCAAGGTAAGCCAGAATTGGGAGGGGGTTCTGGCGTTAATTAAGGGTACTTGCAGCACCCCCAAAGTGTGAAAAGATTGGGACTGATTGTTTATTACAAGGAACGGGTTTATTCCTAGTTTAAACATAGGACGTCGGAGCTGATGAGTCCTTTTGCATTAATCTGCAACGATCGTCGTGATCGCGTAGGCTATCGTAAGCAGTTGCGGTTTGAATGGATTAAATCTTGTTTGAACCGCAAAATCAAATAATCGGAATGTAACACAATGTTTTAAAAAGCCTACAGAAACCTACTTATGGTTGTTTGTTGGATGTCACACGTTCGCGCAGACGGTATATTTCTTGAACATGTAGTTTGAATGCATAATTGATGTCGCCGGGCGGGGTGGCGATGGCGGGGAGCTCGTTTTACAAAACTAATAACATATTTTCCGACATGGAGGAGAAAACGCTGGGAGAAAGCACAACATGTTGAGCAATGTTGCCTGTGTTATGCATCGCATTTACAATTTCGCTCGCTCTATTTTAATTCCGCGCTATGTGCCATGCATAACGTAGGCCCGAAAACTTGAATCAACATACACGGCCTGATTTCTCATTTCTCACATAGAATTATGGCCAGTGAATACAGTATTTATTGTGAAAGTGTAGCGAATACAAGGAAAGCAGTCTCCCTAATGATTTTGCTTTGAAAATCTGTGAAGAGACGGTGAACATTGCGCAGACAGTATGGTGTTCTCTCTGGAACCAGGGACAGCTGCTTGCACATAATTATGTTGTCATTGCTTGTTATTTGGAAGGGATAAGCTGCACTGACAGATACCGAGTCCATGTTTTTCGGTTAATAAAGTAATATAGATGCTACATAGTAAAATGGGCCTAAAAACTCACGGGAATATGCGTTTCTCGCCTTGTAGCTCTTGATCTAGTTTAACTCATCGATTTATTTATTTATTCTGGAAAGGACTCCATCTTTGTGCTGTATGGTATTTGTCTGCTCCAGCAGGTACGATTTGGTGGCGGGTTTGTAGAATAGAATAAGAGGAAAAAGAGGGACATGGATTGAAAGGGAGAAGCAGCAGGCTGATTACGAGGTGTCAAAATTGCCAGGAGCAAAAAGGTGAAAGCAATCAGGGGTGAGAAGAGTGCAGCATTCGTGAGGGGCAACTAATTATCCATCTCATTTGAGGAGAGCAGCATTGGAGGCAGCACTCGCCCGCTGAACGGTGACAGATTGGAGCGGAGGAGAGGGGAGGTGTTAGAACAATGGAGCCCAGCTCACAATCATTACTGCATGCTAATCAGAGTCGGTGCTGCACCGCGGTCTGAGCTGCAGAGTTCAGGGGAAAAAAAAGTAAGACATCAGCTTCAGGGGAGCTCGCTTTCCTACAGTATTTGAAAATGAAGGGGAAAAAACGGACGAGTCCAGCGTTTTTACACGAAATCCTTTTCCCAAAGGCCAAAAGAGCCAGAAAAAAAAGTTCCTCTAACATGTAACTGAGAAGTCGACTGTGATCAGTCCTATTACCTTCCCATGAATTAGAGTGCAGCGATCCCCCCCCCCCCAGATGATATTTTTCTGCAGGTTTATTAGGTATGACGACCTGAAATTTCGCAATAAAAACCAAAATAAACAGATATGGAAGCTTATTGGCTAACGCTCGTCAGTCGACATTTAAATAATGTTTTTTTTTTCAGTTGTTAGCAGTGATAATAAAATACGAGACAAGTAAATCAGACCAATAATATACATTTTAAAATTACCACATCAACATCCATATTTCATGTCAATCAGCTGCTTACATTTATCTCCTGGTAGTGACATTAATTGAACATGATTTTTGGGACATCTGCTGTACTGTAATTCATGCTGATTATATTTATTGATGCCACCTTATGTCTTACTATACAGATGAGAGATATTGAGATCAAGTTATTCCCGTTTTCAGTTTTTCAGCAAATCGAAATCAAGCGCAAACCAAAATGTTTCCGTCCCTCCCTTCTGGACATCGAAGACGTGCACCTATGTATGCAATTCTGGGGCGGTAGGAATTAAATACTAATAATTGCATTTTATAATGCAGAACATACTTATATAACGCACGTAAACAATTTCACGTACAAATATATTATTTCCATATGGACTGTTGGACTTGTGATTTGCCCTTGCAGCTACAACTGGATATATTTTCAAACTCTTGAAACAAAGTGCTTACTCAGTTATATTTCACTAATATTCCGCTTAGTTGGCCAAAAAGATAAAAAAAAAAAAATCATATTTAGTAAGCCTATACAAAAATTCATCAATGTGATTTGAGAAAAATACTGCGACCTGAAAATTTCTGAGTAGCATATGAAAGATTTAAATAGCAAGCCTACCGTGTAGCCTATTTGAAATAAAATATTTAATTTTTGTTCGCTTCTGAAAAATATAGGCCTATTACCAAAATGAATTAAATGGGGAAAACGAGCTATGAGTTTACACCAATGACATTAATTGTGCGTATGAAAATGTTTTAATTTAATTTACGGTAACGTTGGCCTATTATTTTTTAAATGTTTATTTAGGAATATATATATTCCTAATATATACATACACACACACACACAGTGATCCCTCACCTATCGCGGAAGTTACGTTACAGACCCATCAGCTATAGGTGAAAATCCGCGACATGAAAAGACCACGTAAACATTTTTTATTTTTTGATATAGTTCAAGCCTACCCCTCCCACATGCTTTAAACACATGTAAACTTATTAAAACACACTTTACAAACACATATGATATGTGGATGTCCGGCTAAGAATATGAGTAACATAATAATAATAATTATTATATTATATATATATATATATCACACACACACATACACATCGCAGAGAACTGTGATGCTTCGGGGAAAAATCCGCGATATAGCGAGGGCGCGATAGCTGAACCGCGATATGGGGGGGAATCACTGTACACGAAATGTTAGTAGGCCTACTTTTACTGCTTAGTTATATTGATAAAGGGGATTAGTTGTAGCAAAAATATTCCGCTAATATAAAATACTAACTGCCAATATAGACCTATTCAGTTAAATACGGTATTACCTGCTCAGTAATTACTGTACAATGAAATTATTTTACACCGGGCACAGAAAATGGATGGATGGATATGACCTTAAAATTGTTCTAAAGTTAGACTACTCATTCAGTGCATTACATCTTCAATGATCTAATTCAAATTATTAATCCACAAAGAAATTAATCGACATTTTCAGTATTTGTAAGTACATGTACACTTACAGAGTTGCAAATTTATTAGTAAAATGCTCCTTATGGCAATAATCGTGGCTTAGGTGTATGAACATGTTTAGGTCTATTGACTTGATTATACCGCTATCTGACAAGTCTCTAGGCTCCATGGTGGCCGTGATACCTACGTACAGTATAGGCCTATATTTCATAGGCCGCTTAAGTGAAATATTTATGATGAGTGTATCTGCAATAACAATACTGCAAATTAACATATTAAACATCAAAAGTGCATATGCAGCCCGTATGTTGTATCCGTTCCATAACACGGTAGCACTTACAACGACCAAACAAAGTATTCAAAACACATTTACAAGCATTTATGAGACGCGATTTTCCGTCATCTGCAGCAAAGCGGAATCTGTAGAGATGAGCCGGAAGTAAACGGTCCAAGAGAAAGTCGAGAGCTACAGTAGGAGAAGGCGGGGTGTAGAATGTCAGTGTATGTGTACTTTCGGAGTTAGACGGATAACAGCAGAAAAGGTATGTAACATTTAAATTAACATTATGATGGACGCGTGTTGCATAAACGCCTCCAAGCTAGTTTCTGTAACTAGACGATTTGGCGTATTGTGCGCTTCGGCGCGCGAACTTCCGCTGACGTCATGCGAAGGCGAAGAGTTCATCTTGCTGCATTGATGCTGCCGCGTGCTGGGTCCCTGTTGCAGGCGCCGTATAAACTGCGATGCATGTCACTGTACCGCTGTCTCTGTTATGCTATGGGAAATGTGTATGAAGCGTTTAGGAAATAAGGAAAACGTTAGCAAACATGGAAATGTGCATATAATAATGACATTTAAAAAAATGAGGATAGTAGTGTGTTAATTTATTTATTAGTAATTATGAAATATCAATGGGTTATTCCAACTGGCTGACTGCTACACGAAGCATTGGTCTAAAATTCAGTATTAAGACGTTTTATGCCAGACAATTTATGGATAGATGGGCATTTGCTTATTTTTTGTAAGGGTAGTAAGGGTACAAGATCCCACAAGTACAAGTTACCTGGGTGGCACAGTCAATGGAATTTGAATGATAAAGCTGTAATTTGCATATCTAATTTATGGATGGTAGTTAGTGAAATTAACGCAGGAGTGCATCTCCCACTCATGTTGAGTTTACTGTGTGGATTCTGTAGAATAACATACAGTGTTGGTTTCTTTTTTAGTTGAGTGTGACTGAATGTGAGATGCATTAAGAAAGCTATAAAATAAAAAACAGTTTTATGCTGTTGTCACAGGCTAAGAAAGTGATCAGTGGGGAAATCCAGCTTCCATCCGTCCATCCATCCATCCATCCATCCATCCGTCCGTCCATCCATCCATCCATCCGTCCATCCATCCGTCTTCTAGCCATTAGCGATTATATATTAAACTAGGTATAATATATCTAAATTATACAGAGTGTAATAAATATACTAAATATAAAAATATAAAATACCAAAAAATGTAAGACAAAAATAATAATGTGCAAGGCAGTGTGCAAAAATGCAAGAGAGGTGAACAGGGAGAGGGACACACACAAGGAGAGAGACAGAGAGTTAGTATGATTGTGTGCAATAGTAGACTCTCCATTATTGTGTTGTCGTTGAGATGTCATCGCTTGTGGATAAAAGTTTCTCTTGAAGTATCCAGTCCAGGCTTGGAGACTGCAGAGGCGTCTCCCTGACCTCAGCAGTCTGAACAGTTCATGTGTCGGGTGGGTGGAGTCACAGCTGATCCCGAAGGCTCGGGTTCTGCAGACTGAACAGTTCATGTGTCGGGTGGGTGGAGTCACAGCTGATCCTGAAGGCTCGGGTTCTGTAGGGTGGTAGGAAGTTCCCAATGGCGCATTCAGCTGAGCGCACCATCCCCTGTAGGGCCTTTTGTTCCTGTAGGGTGCAGAATCCATTCTAGAAAGACAGGATGCGCTCTGTTACTCCAGAGTAGAAATGTTGTAAAATGATGGGAGAGAACTTGAACCTCCTGAGTCTCCTCAGGTGGTAGAGGAGCCCTCTGGCTCTGCCAGTGAGGCTCCAGGTGAGGTCTGCAGTGATCTGGACACTGAGGTACTTAAAACACCTCACTCTCCACCAGGGATCTACTGATCTGAATCGGGGTGTGACTCCTCCTTTGTCTCCTAAAATGTATCACCATCTCCTTGGTCTTGTCCACGTTCAGGGAGAGGTGATTCACCTGCCACCACATCGCTAGGCTTCCCAGCTCACTCAGGTAAGCCCTCTCATCATTTTGGGAGATCAGGTCCACCACCACTGTGCCGTTGGCCAACTTCATAGTGGAGTTGGAGTCCCGTCTAGCCAGGCAGTCGGAGGTGTAAAGGGAGTACAGAAGCGGACTCGGTACACATCCCTAGGGGGCCCCTGTGTTGAGTGTGAGTGTGTTGGAGAACACATCACCCACACTTCACTGTCTGTGGTCTCCAATTTGCAGCTACCAGTTTCCCTCTAAATTCTAAAGCTAAAATGCATCATGTACGCTCTGTGCACTGATATTTCTCTTTGCACTGATGTACTATAATCGCTAAATTGTTGCTAGATCTTTTTCTGCCTCTGTGTCAAATGGCAGAGTTGACACAGACAATGAGAGTTCCAAGTCAGCTGGCATGAGTCAGACCTGTAGCTGTGCAAGCCTGCAGAAAATGCCCAGAAAACATAAGTAAATAGAACAGAAATGACATCAGATGAACTGGAAAAATGTCTCATTATTCAATATCGATCGATATAGTAAGACTGGATTAAACAATTGAGAAAACCATTATGAAAACAAATCTTTGAAGAGTCTGCTATACATTAACAAACTGTCGCAAATTCTGCACTTGGTAGTTAAGCGATCCCCCCCCCCACCATATGCTGATTCTCATCCATCGTCTATATGGTGTGTCATGGTATCAGCCTGGAGCCAATCCAGGGAAACACAGGGAAGACCATGGACGGGATACCAGTCTCTCATATAACGCACACGATGGGAAATTTAGAAATGCTAATTCATTTATCTGCATGTAATTTGGACTAGGAGGAAACCTGAACAAACACGAGGAGAACGTGCAGGCTGCACACACAAAGAAATGGTGGCGGGAATCGAAACCCCCAAGCAGGGAGTTGTCAGGCTGCTGTGATGCCCACTGCACCAGCATGTCGGCCTCCTACAGTAAAAATATAGGTGAATTGTTACCTGCATGATGGCGAATGGTTCCTTGCATTTGGTAAACAAATATTTTCAGAAAGCCTGGACGACATAATGTTGTTTTCTTAGCAAGTCTAGCAGTGTTCTAATTTTTGAGCCTCTTTGAAAAACAATTCATAATTTTAACTTCTTGTGTTTTTGGTTAGCACTGTGCAGATGGAGTCTTTGTAAAACAAATAAGACCTTTTGTTAGCATGCTAGCAGCCTGCTTTTTTGCATTTTTTTTCCCTCTTCAGCCAGAAACCTGAACTTTGGATGTGACTGTGTAGTTGAGCGTAAGAACGAAATGTCATTTGTCGGTTACTAATAATTGAAGCACTTTTTACTTGGCAGGCAAAGTTATCCTGAGATTTTTGGAGCCAAGTTGGAAAGGAAGTGGAATGGCCACATGAAATCTGGGGGGGGGGGGGAATGAATCATTGTAGCAGGTAATTTAATCTTCCACACAGTGGTGTGCAGAGCAGAGTGAGAGTGCCATCATGCTAGGTTGCACACACCCAGCTGACAAGAATCCTTTCAGGTGACCATACTGTTTCACAACACAGGAGTCTAAAGGCAATCAATGTTAGGTCCAGCTAATTAGATAATAGTTATAATTAACTGAACTCTGGTGACACTTTTTGTACCTAATAGGTAAAAGAGAAGAGCATTAAAATTTAAAACTGTGATGTGATTAAAATATTCTTACATTTATGTACTATTTACCTACTATTGGGATAATACAACGATGTAATTGGTTAAGCATTACGGAAGACTAGCAATATATAAGGAGGTGACGTCTTGATACTTATACCTTAAGGTAAACCAATTAAAACTGTAAGACCCAAGATTGGCCACAGTGATGTAACTTGTAGTTTTTTGACATAAAGTGGGTCATCGTTGCTTACAACACATAAATGGCAGAAGAGTATTTGCACATTGTCATAAAAAAATTTTTGTGTGTTTTTTCAGACACATGTAGACAAATGTGTTTATGTGTGGAAAGTCAAGAGGAGTGAGCAAATGGGGACACGTTAAATTAGTTCTTGAGTCTTGTTAGTCAGAAGATAGTAGAGAGAGCTCAGCATATTTGTTCGTGATGACCCGAGGGTCAATGCACTTATGAATCTAGGAATTTGTGTTGCCCATGGACTGTACAGCTGATTCCTCTGCATTTTACAAATGAAGAAGGAACAACCTGATGAAATGGAATAGATTGATTGGTTGACTGCTGCCATAAGGCCTAATATTAGATTATCATATTTTTATTATTCCAGTTTTGTGACTAATGCTTGGGGTACCTGTAATATAACAGTTTTGGAAATGCGATAGTCCACAATTCTCCACAATTCTTGTGCTTTATGTTTTGTTTGTTCTCCATCTCATATCCAACATCAGCTACATACTGAGAAAAAAAACTTACCATAGATCTTTATTTATTCTTTGTCCTTTTGTGAGCTGCTTTTTATGGACACACACACACACACACACACACACACACACACACACACACATATATATATATATATATATATATATATATATATATATATATATATATACACCATTTTTTGGTCCAGTTTAGGATCTGGGTGGGATGTTAGCACAGTGGGTTTTTATAGTCACGTTGAACAAACAACGACGAGAATCTTTGCTGAGGTATCGTCCTGCTGTGAACTAAGGCAGTCTGGGGATTAAAAAAAAAACACAAAGAGAATGCTGCTTAATTAGAAAGGAAGACACATTCTTGAATTAGTATGTGGTGTTAATTACCAGGAAGTCTGGAGCAGTCCTGTAATTACCACCAATATTTTTGACGTTTAAAGAGTGGAGGTGAACTGCATCCATGGTTGCTTGGAAAGTTTTAGGGTACGATAATGCATTTTGTTGTTCGAGCTGCAGGAACTCTGGTCAATGACGAGACATGGTTTGTGGGGCTGTCTTGGCTGAGCACTGCAGCTTTTTACTTAATAAATAGATCATCAATCAAAGTTGAAGGCAGGTGCCCGATGAGGGTGACCACTCAGGACAACTGACCTCATTATTTATGTAGTACGACAAGAACTATGTCGACGTATAATGGACACTTTACCCTAAGTGGGTCTTCATTGTGCTTGTGTGTCCTGGGACCAAGTGAGCAAAATTTCAGGGTAGCCCTGACGATAATGCGCTCATTAAAATGCCAGGCGCTTCGTTTAGGCGCTGAGGGAAGCCAAAACATTGCAGCCAAGAAGGATGAAGGGAATCACAGATTTTTGTGTGACTCAGTACACTCGCCCTGATCCTCCTACAGTAGCTGCAGGATTTTCCTCACGTGAGGCGGCGTGTTGTGGCCGCCTTTGATTCTTGCAGGACTAGAAAGTGCCCTCCCCAGAAAAGTGTTTGTTTCCCTGGTGATTCGAAGGCCCCCATTTTTTTTTTTTTTTTTTGGAGAGCCGATCTGGCGCCCGTCGGCGAGCTATGACAGAGGCTGTGGTGAGATCGCACCCAGGGCCCCCAGAGGGGGGAGGTTGGGGACGAGGGGAGCTCCCAAGTTCGGCGGAAGTGGTAGCTGGACGGCATTTGAAGATCTCGCCAGGCTCACCGAACCGGCTCGTTTGTCGAGTGTCACTGCGTCTTAAACGCAAGCGGCCACGCTGTTTGCGCGGACACCTCGCGGCCACGAAACACGGTGACGCTGGTGTCGTGGCTCCACGTGGTACTCCTGCGGGGAAATACTTGGGGTTTTGGGAACGAAGCCCTAAAATATAATAAAATTTCAATTTCCACTTAGGACAATTAATAATGGAAAAAAACGCAACAAAAGAGTAATACTATAAATACTTGCATGTTGCTTCTACCTCGATAGTGAGAGAAAAGGCGAAAATAAATTAACCGCGGCAATGCTGCTGTTGGAGCCTCTGATTTTCGCCGGTGGGGCTTTTTCATTACAGCGGCTGAAAACTGGGGAGGATGTGAGGGGGGGGGGTTGGTGGTGAAAATTGTGCCTCGCGAAGCAAGGGGTTAAGCCAGCATGAAAGAATTCATTCCCAGTTTAATGACCTTGCCTTACTGGGCGAGGACGACGCGGAACATGCTTCTGACTTGTACTGAATTTGCCAATTAACACCTCCGCTAACAGGCTGCCTCTGTACATCAGAGGGGAGAGCTCCGCCCGCAGCTTGTTTTCCCCCCTACCTCCTCCCTTAATATTCAGGACTTAAATAAACTGTTAGGCAATACGACTCGGCTCCCTCCAATTCACAAGGAATCAAGCATCTGAATTAATGGCGCCTTTAAAGAATTGTTTTAAACATCTATTCGTGAGATGGGCGTTAGGCTTCGGATGCGATCTTTTAAAATCAGATAAAGCGTGTCATGTTTTTTTTCCCTCCCCCTGAATAAATCTTCGTGTACTTCAATAAATTTCTATTTTCACACATGTCCATATGGCCTTGCGTAGACACAATTAGAACAGGGACTGGTTTCCAAGATACTCGCTCCGATAGTATGCTTTCAGTCTTTTGTTTTCTGTCGTATAGGGCGCTGAAAGGGAGGAATCACGGACGTTCAGATGTTTATCGTGGGATCGAATAAACACCCAGACTTTTACCTTCCCTCCCTTTGCACAATATGGTCCTCTACCGTGTCTGTCCCCTCCAAAGCCTCTCTCCTGTGCTGCCAGAAAACACCTTGCGTGGTGTGAATCTCCAGCACCTAGCAAAAACCTCTAAGGAGATTTTTTTTTCTTGTTTTCCTTCGAGTCCCTTTTGCAGGTAGAAGTCATCTACCCTCCCCTCACGGGTCTCCATGATTAAGACGTTACAAGATCATAAACACCTTTGGCTGAGTGTAATGTGGACATTCTCACATCAGGTTGAATTTAAAATGCCCAGAAAGGGCATTCTACACCAATGTGAACATACAGTATAATAAATCGCCACAGCGACTCCAGTCACACACTAACGCCTGGGTTCACAAGTCATTAGCAGGTATTTCAATGAAATGTATTAATGGAAGGATAGCTAAATAATTGATACCAGTTCACACCATAGGAAAGGTGGAGTAATCTATCTAATTGTGTTAACAAATTTGCAGAGGAGGAACTTGGTGTATAACACATTGTGGTTCGAGCAAAGCCATTGTTACAATGACAAATGGCTTCTCCTAACACTTTGTAAACAAAAGAGCCTCAAATTCTGATATGTTGTTGGTGGCCCTGCCTAAACAAGATCAACATAATTTCTTGAAAGCTCGATATCTATGTATATTTTTCTCTTTATTTAATCGTACATGGCGTTTGCTCAGAGGTTATCAGTGCACAGTTTAAAAATATATAAATATATCCATTTGACGACTATACAGTTGTCCCGTATACATGTGCGTGAACCTTGTTATTGAGGTTTGCTCACAAATCAAACTATTTATGCAGTGTTAGGAAACCATCTGGCTTGGGCAAAGTTGATCCGCATGCTGGCAGAGAGGGTCTCTGACTGACACCTCTTCACATCAGTGGGTGGACGACTTCATTAAGCGCCCAGTTTCGCGGCTCCAATCTGGAGGACGCGGCTGAGCTTTTTGCATCTACTGATTCTATATAGTGCCTTATGCGTAGCCTACATACATACTGCACATGCGCACTAGCATCTACAGTTTAATATGTACATACGCGTAGAGTTTTAGGTAATGATAAAATACAAGCATATCTGTTTCTATCCGAATTGGTGTGAGGTGAAATGTGGGCGGGGTGATTGCAAACCTGGCTTTTCTCCTGTACTCAATCGTGTGCGGTGGGGCTCTTACTTGTTTTGGTGCAAAACCTGTTAAAATGGCACACCATATGTAATGTTCCCGGTTTCCGTGCCCCCCACCCCCCCAGGGCTCCAGCTCGTGTGCCAGTGCGCCCAGTCTTTCGTTGTCTTTGGGGTTTTGGTAATTACTTCACTAGAACAGATTTTTCTATTAAAAAACTCTTTTCATTCAAGGACAGCTGTCTTTTAATTGCAGTATCTCTTAAAACGGAAAAGAACGGGGGCCCCATATTTATGTCTATGGCTCTTAAAACAGAGACGGGCCGAAATGAGGTGCTCAAATACGGCGAACTTGATAGGATACCGTTCTGTATTTATGTCA